GAGAGAGAGAGAGAGAGAGAGAGAGAGAGAGAGAGAGAGAGAGAGAGAGAGAGCGACGGACAGATCGAGAGTGAAGACAAAGGAGTCCGTAAAAGAGGGCGCGAATGAAGGAAACAGAGGTAAATGCACATCATGGGTGGCACCTGCGTTACAGTATATCTACGTCGCACCAGTTATGACAGACAGAGGGATCACGAGAGTCGCGGGTCACTGACTCTCTCGTTTTCTTCTGGTGAGATACAGGGATCTGAGAGAGAGTACATGACTTCGCGACGGACACCTCATGTAGTTGTTGTGAAACATTTCTGAGGATCTCCAATAGAGTCTGAAAATGCACAGCTTACAATGTAAATCAACACGAATTCCACGACGTACGATTTCTTGCCCCAGCCCATGAGAGATAGTTTCACTGTATAAAGGCCACTCAGTGGAAACGCCAAAAGCGTCCGTTATAGACAGGTGCCCGTTCTATACATGTAGTTTCACCGTGTAGCTGCCACTCAAATGCAATGCCAAAAGTATTCCTTATAGACGCGTGTCCGTTTTATAGAAGTGCCCGCTAACACATGTTTCACTGTATAACCGTTGATTTGATGCAGGAAAACCAAAGACGAGCTAAAATGCACAGATCACGCAATACAGCTATACACAAGCCACCGACCCTTTGTCTGAAATGATCTCTAGAGGGAAAAAGGTGTCCGTTAACACAAGTTTGATTGCCTACGTTTGAGTCCCCTGGTCTTGGCTCCGATCGTTGAGCGCATGCATACCCTCGGCAACGGTGTTACTTTAATTTCATTAACAGCCTTCGTCCGACAACGCTACATCAGGTGATACGCTAGCCTTAAATACGGTGGCAAGATAAACCTACTGTTACGGCAGGTATCGACTTAAGCAAATCAGGATAGTGCCTTGCTCAAGGGCACAACAGCGCTGACCGCCGTGGGACTTACACCCCAGCCCTTTTTCGGCCCATGTAACGCGTAGGCCCTACCATCCGCTATATCACTACTCCCCCTCGCTTTTAAATATCAAACTGCAGTAGAACCCCGTTATAACGCGCCCACAGTAACGCGAATTCGAATATAATGTGATCATCAATTGGCTATTCTTTTTTCTCGTTTTCCTCTCTCCTTTCGCTCCTTCTCCGCTCCTCTTTCTCGCTTTCTCTCATTTTTCAAACGTTTAATTGTCTCATTACTCGGTTTACACTACCAACTTTGTGTTGGCGAATTGGCGAATTGGACCAAACTTCCCAACTATATAACCGACAATCGGCAGTGTAAACGCAAAAGTTGCGCGACCAACCGATCGATAGCAACTAGTTGGGAGATTATAACATGTTCTATTTTCGCCAACCCAGAGTTGCCGAATTGAAAAGTTGGTCCAACTCGCCAATTCGTCAACATAAAGTCGGTAGTGTAAACCCATCTTTACGCGTTCGGATTCTTCAGATACAGAATATCGCAATTCAGCGGGATTCCACTGACAGCCGATGACGTAATAAATCGCACAACCGTCGATAAATTAACCGACTAGCCGCTTGCTTACTTGGTCGTGTGCTCGTGTGTGAGCTTCAGATACTGCTCCGTGCTCGTGCGAATCAGCGTCTGCAGCCTGCGGTTGTTGGTCACCGTCAAACTCGCAGTAGTTGGCATGCCCTCAAGGAAGACGACGGAGTCGAAGATCTCCCCGCTGATGCTGCCGGCGATGCCGCCATAGCGCTCCGCATCGGCAGCCATCTTGATGAGCATATCGCCGTAGAGGTACCCGCCGGTGGAGAAGGCGTGCACGAGCAGCGGGGTCGGGCCGACCGTGGCGGCGCGGTGCGAGAGGTAGTTGCGCGCCTGCTGGACGCAGCTCTGCGCGCGCGCGGCATACAGGACGTGATCTATGTGGACCCGAACGTTGAGAACGTCGAAACCGCGCTGAAGGTAGAAGTCGCCGTACTTGTAGACGTGTCGCCGCTTGGCCGCCACACAGGAGAGGAGGCACGCGCCAGGGAGCGCTGGTCGTCGGCCGCCGTCGCACTGCCGTATCTCGAGGTTGCGCTTGATCACCCGATTGGTGATGCTGTTCGTCTGCGTCGATAGACTTTTCTGAACGACATTCATCGGAATGTACGCCTGGAAGAGGTACAACGATTAATGCTGTCGAATACTATGAAGTGTCTTCGTGATGCATGGGTATAGCGGAAGATCGGGTAGGTTGTTATCATACACATCAACCCAATGCTATGCTATGCTATGCTATGCTATGCTATGCTGTGCTTTGCTATACTATGCGATGTGATGCTATGTTATATGTTATGTTATGTGATGGCGGCGCGCTGGTGTGTTTCTCTGGTATAACACTCTTATCAAGTATCGTGTTAGATTGAGATTATTTGATGAAGCAAATTAACGAATCGCAAATACAGGAATGGTCATGATGTCATAAAAGCAGTACTTCGCAAGAATCTTCAACGTCTTGGCTTCCTGGCGATAAGTTTAATAAGAAACCTATACGGTTACCACACATTGCCGATTTTCCGACTACAAGATAGGTATAGCGCGGCAGGTGGAGCATAATATTGTGAATTCAACAACATCTGCAGTATGCGATTATATGTTTATGTTGCTAGCTAGTTGGTGAACCTACCTTTGTCAGCGGCTGCATGTTACTTCTGCTTGCTCTTATGAGGAAACTATATTCCAACAACATCTCTCTCCCACGTGGCTCCGACAAAATGAAAATTCACACAAAGTGTCCGACGAGACTCTAACATACACGACGAAAACTGTGAACGATTCACAGAGAGTAGAGACACATATTCTGTGAGCTGTGGTTTGTTGTTAACCTTCTCCAGATATAAAGGTAGAAGGGGAACGCGCATTCCCCTTTCCGTGATTTTTTTACATGTGATTTTGTGTCTTAAGTACATTGATTGACCAATCACAGCTCACTGCACCCGTCATTTATAGTAATTCTAAAAACCAAATGACAATAGCCTGTTTACAACTGGCTCATGTCTTCCGCTACTGGTGATAATGTAATACTATAAGACGTATCGAAAGGAAAAAATGTAAAAGAACCCCTATTATCAGTTAAATACGAGTATATAAACTTTATCATGGGCGGACTGAGGGAGGGTCGAATATGCACGCATGCACGCATGCACGAATGTAAAAGCGGGTGGGGCAGGAGATTGTCCAACACAGGCCAAGGTCCCCGACGAACGAGGAGTGGGGGGGGGGCAACCTCACATTGTGAGTATAGGCGATTCACGTGAGCGTGCGTTCGCACATGCGCACAAATACATTCCATCGTGTATCTGCCCCCTGCATGTACTCGCATATTACTTGTACCAGAGCACGCTCTGCTCTGCTCTGCTTGTACTGCACCATATCACTGATCTCTATAATAAAATCTATAATAAAAAAAGTTATTATAGAGATCAGTGCACCCTATGTACGTACACTTTTCCATGCAACCGTGCGCATGCGGAATGGTGTTGGCAGAAAGATGCGATATGATATGACTACTAGGCACTTTAATTTAATTTTTTTTTTTTTTAGGGTTAGGGTTAGGGTTTTTTTTTTAAGTGCCTAGTAGTCATATCCTAAGTGCCTAGTAGTCATATCATATCGCATCTATCTGCCGGGTGCTGCGGAATTATGTGCACATGCGTGTACGGGCACGTTTGCGTGTATCTGCACACTGCGCACTTGCGCGCGTGTGTATGAATGCGTGTATTGGTGTGCACGCGCAAATGTGCACACGCGCGTCTGTGTGGACATGAGTGTGCGTGCACGCATGCGTGTATCTAAACGCTCGCATGTATGTGCACACATGAGTGACGCGTAGATGCACGCTTGGTGTACGTACATTTGTGCGCATGCTTCCGCGCCTGAGTGTGCGTGTGCAGATTTATGCGCGCGTGCGTGTGTGTGTGCACATGCGTATACGTGCATGCTTGCCTGCGTCTACACGCTAGCGTATAATATGTGAGCGCACGTGTGTATGTCGATCGAGTGTGTGATCTACACGCATACGCACACGACGTGTGAACGTAAATACGTTTAGTTGCATTCATTATATTTAGTTCGGGTATTATCTCTTCCTTTAAGTATTGCGTGTATGTGCGCGCATGTGCGCAAGTGCGGGCATATTCATACGTGTGAGCGTACACACGTTTAGCAATATTCGTTATATTTGTCTTATTTGTTCCATCGCGTTGCGTTGCGGTTCTGTTCGTTGATTGTGTTAGAGGTGGGGCGGGTACAGTGAGGTTTTAGGAAGACTTATGTATTGTAGCTAGAAGAGCGTCATTGCATGCTCACAAGGAACGGCGAGGCAACGTTGTTAGCTGTCATTATATGGCGTTAATCCGGCAATTGACTGTCAATGTCGCGCACTCATGTTTTATTGAGGTATGCAGTCCATGTGCTTTCATTCGCTAGACTTCATGGTTACTACAAATCCTAATGAAAATAAAGAAACAAATCACTTCATCCCTACCGTCCCTACTTTGTCCTTCCCTTTTCCTCCTTTGTTCCCTCTCTTAATTTTTCCTCGCATTCCTTATCTAAACTATACTGCTTGCCTGTTCCTTTTCCTCTCCCTCTCCCATTCTCTCTCAATTTCTCTCTCACACACACCCACACTCGCGCTCCACTCCCCCTTCTCCTCTCTCTTTCTTCTTGTCTCTGACTCTCTCTTCTTGTGGGCATACTACATTTACCACTAAGTAAGATCCGTTACTGATAAAGTTTTACCCTTATTAACACATCAATATAAGAATCAAGATAAATTCCCGATAACATGTGTTGCGCAATACACACACGCGCGCGCGCACTCACGCACGCACGCACACGCACGCACGCACACACACACGCACATAATTATATATATATATACATATATATATATATATCTATTATTATATATTTAAATATATATATTTATTTATTTATTTATATATATATATATATATATAGTCTGCCTGTCTTGTCTTTTA